CCAGGCAGCTTTGAGGCCCTTCAGTAAGGCCCAGTTCTGGTTCTGATACAGGCTAACTCCTTGAGAGGAGGGAAGCCAGGGCCCTCCCAAGGCCTTGGGTTCTGCTCCACTGGCAAAGTCAGGGACTGCCAGGAAAGCAGTCTGTGCGTAGTGCTAGCAAGCCCCTCTGGCGCGGCCCATTCTTTGCCCAAATCTCAGAATGCACAGGGCTGATGCTGGGAGCCCTGGGCAATGGCCAGCACAGGGCGTGTTTGTTTGACCCCTGGCTCTTCCACTCAACACATATTTAATGAGAATCCTGCTCTGTGCCAGGTCTCAGGGAGCCCTGGTGGAGGTCAGTCCAGTGGGAAGACAGCCAAGAAATGGGCCTGGTGAGGGCCGGGCATGGGAGACGTGAGATTGGTCTTCTTTGCCCCACGTGGTGAGGTAGCAGGATTGAGTCTGAGGCTTCTTGCAGACCTGGACAAATCCAGACAAGCAGCTGTTCAGCTTGGAAGGAGCAGAGCCATGGCAGCCTCTGTAATCACCTGTCGGCACTGAGGAGGAAGAGGGGCGGGTTTATCTGGAGGAGAGTGAGAAACTGGGGGCAAAGCAGCAGCAGCGGAGAGAACAGACTACAGCTGACCCTTGAACAATCCAGGCTTGGACCCTACAGGTCCACTTATATGAAGATTTTTTTCAATAAATGTACTTATTGAATGTAAATGTATTTACCCTTCCTTATGACTTTCTTAATAACACTTGCACTTCTCTAGCTTTCTTTACTATAAGAATACATATGTAATATGTAATATGTATCCTATATAATAAAAACCTAATATGCAAATTGACCAAATGGCAGAACAACCAGTCACAATGACATGCACTGACCACCAGGGGGCAGACACTCAATGCAGGATCTGCCCCCAGGCCAGCCAAGATAGGTGTCAGAGGCCTACCCCCGATCGCCCTACTGGTCACCCCACAGATTGGCCCTGATCACTGGACAGGCCTAGGGACCCTAGCCATGCATGAATTTTGTGCACCAGTCCTCTAGTAACATATATGTGTTGATTGACTATTATCAGTAAAGTTTCCAGCCAACAATAGGCTATTAGCAGTTCAGCTTTGGGGGAGGCAAAAGTTATGTATGGGCTCAACTGTGCGGGGCCAGTACCCCTAGCCCCTCATGTTGTTCAGTGTACTTATGTCTGCATCCCCTCAGAAAGGTGAGGGTATCACCCGCAGGTCCTCCCTCTCCCTTGTATCCAAGGTGGCCAGGCGGGGAAGGCTGAACGTCGGTGGTCCAGGGGCTTCTTTGTAAGTTAGTTAGTGCACAGTCAGAACCATAATTGCAACAACAGAAACTTATAAAATAATTAAAGGGAACTTGGAGGGTGGAGCCCGCTGAAAGGGTCCCTCTACCACAGTCTGGCCCCTAAGATGTACAGGACAGAAGTTCAGTTTCATCTTTGCAACCAGAGACTGACTCATGAGAACCAAACCCATAAGAAGTTCCTGGGGGTTGACCAGAATCCAGCCTTCTTGGTGTTGGGATAACAGGTTGGCAGGTTAGTTGGTGAACATGGGATCCCACACAATAAATTCACGTGCTAAGGGGCGTTTCATCCACCAAGCCCATCTCTGCTCCACAGAGCCCACCTCTCGGCCTCTGGGTGGTGCCGTCCCCACCGCCCTCCTCACTGAGCCGCTTTCTCCAGCGGTGATACCACTGCTTTGGCTGCAGCATCTCTCACAGTCGGCTGGACAGAATCCAGCGTCAGGTTCCTGTCCTTCCTCCTGGTCCTAGGACGTGTCTGACTCTGCAGCCTCCAAAGGTGCCTTCTGCAGCCAGGAGCCCCCTTTACAGACTTACCACGGGCACCAGTCCGAGGACACTGCCCAATTCCCCCTCCCCCCCCGCCCGGGGTACCTAGCTGGTGTCATGCCGAAAACCAATTTAAGGAACACATGTTAAAAGAATCCTTGTCTGAGTCTCCTATTGCAAAACGGATTCTGACCTAGTTTACATGTGAGCCGTAGCACTAGTTAGCTAGCCCTTTGCCTGCTTACAAATGTTTATCTAAGAAGAGCAGGGTTGGAAGGACTCGATTTGAATGGATTGTGTGGGTCTTTCAGTGAGTTGCTTAATTTCTCTACATCTCAGTGTCCTCTGTCAAAATAGCAGAATCGTGCTAGTTTGCGATGTCTGTAAAAGTTAGAGACGATGTCGGTGACGAGCCCTGGGTCCAACTGACTGTCGGTTATGAGCGCTGCTCTGGCTGCTGTGGAGTTTTTCATTTCCTTCTCTAGAGGGCCCACTTGGAACAGAACTACCTGCCTGTCCTCATTCCTGCCTCCCCGCAACTTTGACAAGTCCGGCCACGTCCTTTTAGCTTTTCCTCCCGTTTCTGTGCACAGAAAGCAAGCCACCCAGCAATACTTTAATATGGCAACTTTCAACCTTTTTTCCTCCTGGTACACATACACCAATTACTAAAATTCCGTGGCAGGCCAAAAATATATTCTATTCTTTGCCGATCTAACAAAATCAATAGGTATAATTTTGATTTGTTCACACCGGATAGCTATTGTGTTGGCTGTTGTCATTTTTTATTTGTCAATCGAAGGGAAAGGAGGTCAGTGCCCCTGACTAGATAGTCAGGCGTTGCGTGTTTTAACATTCTTGCGACACACCAGTTGAAAAGTCACCACTTTCATAGAATGTGTTTTTTCGAGGTGTGTTTTCCACATTAATATTTAGCAGTTGAACTCAATTTAAATTCTAAGAAATTGTGTTCTGCAATTAAGAGACTACTGAGAATGGAAGAAAGATACCCTTACTTCTGCTGTTTGAAACTGGGGACACATGTTCCATAGAAACAGTGTTAACTTGGGTGGTCAGGGTCCCGGGCGGCCCACTGGTTCAAAGCCCAAACTCTGCAAACAGGCTTCTCAAATGCTGAAGCAGATTCAGCTGCGGGGAGAGGGGCAGAGACTTGATGATTCTAACAGCTCTGGGTGATGCCCACGGTGCTGGTTGGGGTCCCCACTTAGAGCAGCTGCAAGGACTGGGTGGGAAAAGTTGGGATTGCTTAGGGTGAGGAAGTGGGTGAGGCGCTCCTGGGGCTGCAACCTGGTGGGATGAGACCCAGGGATGGGACTCCGAGGATGAAGGGAAAGGGAGACGGGATTGTGGCTGGTGTAACTCCGAGGGTTTCCTCACTGCTGTTTCTCCAGTCCCCGATGTCTGCCCGCTGCCCCCTTCACCACTACTACCCACCAGGGTTTTCCTAAACTCTCCCGCTCAGTCGCAGAACCTGGCCTGCCTCTGTCCCCAGGGCAATCACACTATGCACAAAGCTTTTCTAATGTAGCCCATTTCTAGTAAACAGCCCGGGATTGTAGGTTTAAGCCCCTATTGTTGTTGTTTTTTAATATACATATTTTTTTATTTCAGAGAGAGAAAGGGGGAGGGAGAGAGGGATGGAAACATCAATGATGAGAATCACTGATCAACTGCCGCCTACTGGGGATCAAGCCCACAACCTGGGCAAGTACCCTGACTGGGAATTGAACTATGGTCTCCTGGCTCATAAGTCAACACTCAACCACTGGGCCACATCGGCCAGGCAAGCCCCTAGCCTTTTTCCCCTCTTTTTTTTCCACTTAGATCCTACAGGGAAATGGCAAGGCGCATAAAGATAGAAATGGGGCCTCCTCATCCATCATCTTACCTTATCACTGTCTCCTTTCCCCAGAAGACTAAGAACGATGAGGGCAAGAGCAGAAACAGATTCATCTTTGCATTCCTACAGTGTGTACTCAGACCCAGGTGAATGTCAGGAATCTGCACAGAAAAGAACACAGCAGGTGTAGGACTGAGGGGAAGAGGGGGTGCAAGAAAGGATTTTGTATGGGCAAAGGACCTAAATAGACACCTTTCAAAAGAGGACATACAGAAGGCCAAGAGACATATGAATACATGTTCAAAGTCACTAATCATCCGAGAGATGCAAATCAAAACAACAATGAGGTACCATCTCACACCTGTCAAAATGGCTATCCTAAACAAACAACAAATGACAAGTGCTGGAGAGGATGCGGAGAAAAAGTAACCCTCTTGTACTGCTGGTGGGAATGCAGACTGGTGCAGCCACTGTGGAAAACAGA